CGTCGTCTTCCCTCCTCCCTCGTCGTTGTCGTCGTCGGCGTCGCCGTCCTTCCTCCTTCTTCGTCGTTGGCGTCGTCGCCGTCTTCCCTCCTCCATCGTCGTTGTCGTCGTTGTCGCCGTCGTCGTTTTTTCTCCTCCCTCGTCGTCGTCTCCGTTGGCGACGTCGTCGTCGTCTTCGTCGTCGTCGGCGTCGGCATCGTCGTCGTCTTCGTCGACGTCGACGTCGGCGGTGTCGTCGTAGTCGTTGTCTGCGGCGCCGTCGTCGTCGTTGTCGCTGTCGTCGTCGGCGTCGGTGTCGTGGCCAAGTGCCATGTGGTACCTACCGTCACGGTCTTGTCTTCAGAAGTCTTGCGACCAAGTTGCGGGTGGGAGGGTGGGATGTTTGCACGAGCAGTAGCGAGGACAGCTTCAAGACGGTCAAAGTGAATTCCACAACATATATCGCAGCACATAGGTTGCACAACCTTGATCGCACTGCATCTATTGCACAATGTATATCACACAGTATCGATTGCACCATATATAGATATCACCGCGCATAATGCACCACACATGTTGTACTACATGTACTGTCCCATGCGCATTGCACCACATAGGCTGCACCACATTTATTGGTCAACCTATATCGAATAGCTTTTTATTTCGCAGTATCTAGTGCACCGCGTATTTTGCACATCCTAGATCTCGCAACATCGAGTTTTGGCACAACACAGTGTGCACAACCTAGATCGCACCACATATATTGCACCACGTATATTGCACAGTACACATGACACCACAAAGTTCGCGCCACATATATTGCTCCACATAATTTGCATACCATTCATTGCTAGAACCACTCACCGTTTGGGGTCCACGCTGGCTAACATGGATGTTGTTTGAGGTTCTCCATTTCTTAGGTTCTCGCTGTTTTGGGCCCAGATCGGCCGAAGACAGCTCTCAGGGCCTCCGAGACTGCCCCAAGACGGCCCAGGAGGATCCCAAGAGGGCCCGAAGACGGCCCCAAGAGGACCCCAAGACGGCCACAGAGAGCCCCGAGGGCCAAAGGAGGCCCCGAGAGAGCCCCAAGGGGCTTCCAGGAGAGCCCAAGAGGGCACCAAAAGGGGCACTAAGCCGGCCCAGACCTTTCTAGGCGGGCCAAGAGGCCCCCAGAACGGCCCAACATTCTCCAAGAAGGACTTTCAAAACGGCTCGAGGAGGCATCGCGTATTATTTTTTAGGTTTGGATTATTTTTGGGGTTATTCCTCTCGCTTCGCGGGGTGCACGTCCAGAGCACGTACAGTCACGTCGTCGCGGGGCCTCTTGGGAACCTCTTGGGGGCCTCCTGGAGGCCTCCTGGGAGTTTCTTTTGGCCTCTTGGGGGCTTCTTTGGGGCCTTTCCCCCTCCCTCCTTTTCATACACCCTCCCCATCTTCCCTTCCAGCGCCGGCTCTAATCATGGGCGCCGCAGTGACCAACTTCCACCTGGCTGGCGCTGCGCCGCAGTTCGCCCAGAGGGGGGAAAATATCATTACACTCCAGTCACTGTGTGGCCTTTGGTGGTTTTTTTGGGGGCCTTTTGGAGGCTTCTGGGGGACTTCTTGGAGGCTTCTTGGGGGCCTCTTGGGGCCTCTTGGGGGAGTCTTGGGCCGTCTTGGGGCGCTTTTGCGCCGTTTCGCCCCCTCGGAGGCTGTCTTGGGGGCCTCTCGCGGCCGCATTGGAGCCCTCTTGGGGTCCTCTTGGGCCGTCTTAGGGGCCTCTTGGACCGTCTTGGGGGCCTCTTTGGGCCGTTTTGGGGCCTTCTTGGGCCGTCTTGGGGCCCTGTTGGGGGCTTGTTTGGGCTGTTCTGGGGCGATTCTGGAAGCTGCTTGGGCCGTCATGGATTTTTGAGAGTCGAAAAAGGCGAGAACGCTAAAATATTGCCACAACCAAATCAATGACTTCGGGCTCTGGAGGCGCAGCTGCGGTCGCTCTTGGGGCCCTCTTGGGCCGTCCTTGGGGCTTTGGGGGCCCTCTTGGGGCCGTCTTGGGGGCCTCATGTGCCCCCGTTGGGAATATCTTGGGCCGTCTTGGGGCCGTCTTGGGCCGTCTTGGGGCCATCTTGGCCCATCTTGAGGGTGTCCCCCCCTTCACCCCAGCCGCTCCCTCCTTCCTCTGCCTGCGGTCAACCCGCACAGTAAGGATGGGCAGCCTTCCCAAGGGTACCCTTGCCTCTTTGCCTCCTCGGTCCATCCTTGGCCACTTTGCTTGGTCGCGCTCCGCTCGAGAAGCTTCGGACTGGGCGTCCAGGGCCCTTGCATCCTTATCGCGCATCCTTATGACACGGGCCGACTGCAGGGCCGTCAGGGGTCCCTCGGGGTCGTTTTGGGGGTCTCTCGTGGCTGCCTTGGAGCGCTGTGGGGACCTCTCGGGTCGTCTTTTTTGGTTCGTCTTGGGCCGTCGTCCGCCTCAGGAGGAGGAGGAGGGGGAGGAGGAGGGGGAAGGGGGAGGGGGCGGGGGAGGGGGGAGGGGGAGGGGGAGGGGCAAGCTAGGTGCGCTCGCGTCATAGCTGACATCCTACCCTTCCCTCCCATCCCATGGCGTAGATCGCCTCTCTACTCGCACAGTCGGATGTCGAGCAGCGCAATGATCCCGAAAGGGTACGCGATGCATTGTAGAGCACGGCGTGGCATGGCGTAGAAGAGCACCGAAAAGCGTAGGATCAACCTAGCATTGCATTGCATGCCGTGGCATGGCACGGGAAATGACGCCAGCGTTGCAGCGGGAACGCGAGTCGGAACGAACGGAAGCGCGGAAATGAGGCCAGCGCTGCAGCGGGAGCACGATTCGGAACGAGCGGAAACACGGAAATGAGGCCAGCGCTGCAGCGGGAGCACGATTCGGAACGAGCGGGGCCCGAAAATGAGGCCGGCGCCTCAGCGACAGCAGCATTTTGGAAACAAATGCAAGCGAACACCCAACTCCGGGGAATCTTGTATGTAAAAAAACAGTATGCGGGGGGGCTGATACTTTCAAACCGTCATCAGTGGAAGAGGGAGAGTAGTATTCATATTGAGTAATCGTGAAGGGGGAAAGGGGGAGGAACCGTGTCCTGTCCATCCCGCCTCCCGCCCTGATTGCCCCCCCTCCCCCTTCGGCTGCCATGCCGTTCGAGCGAGAGGCTCGCTCTCCGGGCCAGGCCCGCGCGGCGAGGCCGCCTGGCAGTGTGCCGGAGAGGCGTGGAGAGGCGAGGGGGCGCAAGCACAAAACGTCGGCACGCGGAGCGGCACGGCGCGGCGCGGAGCGTCGCTGGAAGTCAAAGTGGAGCAGACTTGAGCAGGACAGAGGCGGTTTGTCGAGGAGCCTTGGGGGACTGGGGGGCAGGGGGGACGGAGGTGGACAGGGAGGGGGAGAGGGGAGTGGAGGAGGAGGCAGCGGAGGCAGAGGGGGGGGGGAACAAGGAGGGCGAGGAGGGTGGAGATTCCCCCTCATCCTCCTTACCCTCAGTCCCCTCCTCGTGCTCTCCCCCCTCCTCCCCTCCTCCATGTCCCCCCTCCTCCGGTCTCACCCTCCTTTCTTCATCTTCCTTCTCCCCTCGCTCCTTCCCCTCTTCCGCTCGCCCTCCCCTCCCCTCCCCTCCCCCCCTCCCCTCCCCTCCCCTCCCCTCCCTCCTCCTCCTCCTTCTTTTCCCTTCATTCCCTCGTCAGCCTCTCCCTCCCCCTCCCACCTGCTGCCGTCTCCCTCCTCTCCGCTTCCTGCGTGCCCCCTCCTCCTTATTCCCCTAGCTACCTCGTACTCATTTCGCGGCTGTCCAGTGGCTGCCTCGTGACCAGCCTGATGACCCAGTGACCCGTGTGCCTGCCTCCTCTCATCCCCCTCCCCCCTCCCCCTCCCCTCCTCGTCCTCTGGCCCATTCCCCGTCCGCCCCTCCCCCGTCCTCTCTTCCGTCCGTTTCCCGTCCCCCTCTGTGAAGCGAAGCTTCGCAGGGTACTTTTCCTCGTCTCTCTGGATGCACCTCGGGCAGCTCTCGTTTTCCTCTTGGCGCTCCGTATCCTTCAGCGCCACAAGCGCACGCACGCACCTGCACGATGAGATGAGAGAGAGAGAGAGAGAGGGAGCGGATGGTATTGGGCTCAATCGAATGGTGGTTGCAAGTGAGGGAGAACGGCGGGGCCTCTAGGGCCTGGGACTCCTGCGGTCCCGCAATGAGGGCCTGCAGCCAAATGGCTATGGATGGAGCGAATCTGTAAACGAATGAAATCGCCAAAGGTCGATTCAAACCCTCCCCCCCTCCCCAAGGGACTCCTCCTTCACCGAGACGCCGTCGGCAAACCGAGGAGCAGCCCAAACTGAGGAAAAGACAAAGCCGAAGCAATATCTTGAGCAATCTGAGGAATCATTGAGGTTCGGCGAAGGCATCTATACACCACCACCGTGTCAGGCCAGGGCCATCTTGAGCCACAGGATGGTGTTTAGACCCTCCTGGCCTCGGCCAGGAGGGCGTATATACCATGCCAGGGCCAGGATGGCCCTGGCCTGGCACGGTGGCGGTGTACAGATGCGTTCTGCGTATGAGGAGCCCCCGCCATCTCCTCCCTTCGCCACGACGGCGCCGCCGCGGCGCTCGCTGGGACATGTCCGCGGCGCGCCGCCGCCGAGCGGTGATCATGGGTAACGTGTCGCTCGTCTACCCTGCGAGGCGGGGATATATCAATGTCTTCCATTTCCACCGCCCGTGGAACTGACGTTCTGGGACCCCAGCGGGCGGTGGAACTGGATTTGTTTGGGCCCCGCGGGGCCCGCACGCATGCATCTCCGCCTGTCGAGGTCTCCGAACATCGATCCCCCAGGCGGTGGTCCTGTATGAATCCCCGCCTCGTCTACCCTCCCATCCCTCTCCGCCGCCCACCGCCGCCCCCTCGCCGCACACTCGCTGCTCTCCGCCCTCGCGGCCGCTGAAGTGCAGCCGCGCGGCCCTGCGACGCCGCGCCCCAGACAGCGGCGCGCCCGCACGCCGCCGCACGGCGCGTGCGCGCGCGCCATGGACGGGGGGCCAGCGGGCGCCGCTGCGCGCGGTGAGACGCGTCCGTCCTCGGAGGTGGGCTCGGGCAGCGAGGACGAGGGGCTCTGGATCTGCAGGCCCGGCCACTTCTCGCGAGGGATTTGGGCGAGAGGAGTGAGGAGTGAGGAGTGAGGAGTGAGGAGCGAGGAGCGAGGATCGAGGAGCGAGGATTGAGGATTGAGGATTGAGGATTGAGGAGGAGGAGGAGGAGGAGGAGGAGGAGGAGGAGGAGGTCGAAGAGGAGAAAAATGAGGAGAAGGAGGAGGAGGAGGGGTGGAGGAGGAGGAGGAGGAGGAGGAGGGGACGCATCAGGAATACGATGATGAATACGATGAGGAGGAGGATGATGAGGAGGAGGAGGAGGAGGTGGAGGAGGAGGAGGAGGAAGGGGAGGAAGGAGGAGGAGGAGGAGGAGGAGGAGGAGGAGGAGGGGGAGGAGGAGGAGGAGGAGGAGGAGGAGGAGGAGGAGGAGGAGGAGGAGGAGGTGGAGGTGCGAGCAGCCTGTGGCGCGACCGAATGATGGAAGCGCCTGGCCCAGAAGAGGGAGGCCTCACAGCGCCACGTCCAGTGGCGGGTTCGGCCCTTCCTCGCGGTATCGGGGGCATGGACGCGGCCGACAGGCGAGGGACGTGTAGAGGCGCTCATCGAAGCCGAACACCAGGCCCCAGCGACTCCAGCATGCCCAGGGCGACGTCCATGGGCTGCGCCGAGGGGTCATCCGCATCGAAGCGAATGGAGGTGAAGCTCTTCACGACCGTGACGACGGCCACTCCCATGCCCAGCATCGGCCCGCTGCAGAAGCGCGCGCGCGTGTTGGGGGCGAAGGTGGGCGGGTTCAGGCCCGTGCCACTGCGGCCAGGCAGCACCATGAGGCCGTCCGCCCATTCGCCGTTCAGCTCCTCCTCAGGCTCGCGCCCAGCGTCAGCGGGTCGGGCCGCGCGACATCAGCGAGAGGCAGGCCCACAGGGGCAGGCTGCTCGCCTCCCCGCCGCCGCGGCCTGTGACCGCCCCCCGCGCCGTCCTCCATCTCGTGGTCATCGACCTCCTCGCCGCCGTCGGCGCGCGCCTCCACAGCCGCAGCAACGCCGCGTCCCAGCCTAGAAGCACCGCCCCCCGCCCCGCCGCGCCCACGCCGACTCCGCCGAGGGCGGCCCGCGCCGGGAATGGGGGCAGGCGGCGCGTCCGCCTCCTTCGGCTCGGGCCGCTCCGCCGCGGGGCCGACCATGCCGGCCACGGCGGGGCAGCCCCTCCGCCGCGCAGCAGGCGGGTCCCCGATGGAGACCTTTCCGTCGCGAGCCCAGAGGCGGCATGGGCCGCGAGGAGAGCTCCGCGGGCGGCCTCGACGGCGCCGCCGAGCTCCGCGCTCGGCTGCGCACCAGGCATCGGCGCGGCGGCGGCGACCCGAGGGGTGCCTGCTACGCTGCGCTTGAGCGAAAAAGTACCGAGGAGGAGGAGGAGGAGGAGGAGGAGGAGGAGGAGGAGGAGGAGGAGGAGGAGGAGGAGGAGGAGGAGGGGGAGGGGGAGGGGGAGGAGGGGGAGGGGGAAGGGGGGAGGGGGAGGGGAGGGCAGGAGGAGGGGCAGGAGGCTGGCGGCTGTTGGCTCTTTGGTCGTGGCGCTCGTGTCTTACACCGTCGTTGCGCCCTCCGAGAAGCTCAGGGGGCCGGCCTGCGCCAGTAGACCTGACCTCTGTGGTCTCAGGAGGAGCAACAGGGGGAAAGGGTGGAGAAGGAGAGGGAGGGGGAGGAGGAGCAGGGTTAGAAGAGGAGGGGGACGAGGAAGAGGAGGCGGATGATGAGACGGAGCTTGACCTACTTCACGTTTCAGCCTATGTGATGTTTGCCACCGTGGACTCCAAACAATAGACAGTTGCATTCTCGATGTGCGGTCTTATGTGGTGCAATGTGCGGGATGCAGCCAATCTTGAAGATGTTGATGTCGTCGTGTCGTCGGGTCCAGAGCTCGAACACTGATCACATCCGTCACCCGCGGCTTGTTGGCAACATCCGACAGTGGCAGCGACGCGAATGCCCTTGTCAGGCAGATTCATGACCCAAGTGTGGAGACCACCGTCCTTACCCGTCGACACAGCAATGGTGACTCCGAGGGAATACGACGAAGTCGCGGCTTGGCTCGCGCACCTCGCCATGGAAAGGTAGAGGTTTTGTTGCCCAATATGTCTAGCAAACGCCACCTGATCCTGGGAAGGCGAGCATCACCATGCAGGCCAGGGGTTGGAGATGTTGGTCAGCGGGGGATCATGTGTGCCTCATCTTCCGTAGTTGTCGGATGCTGCACAATATTTTGGGCGTCTTGATTTACGAGCCTTGGCATGCACAGGGCATCTGCTTGTCTGGTGATCTTATTTTGTTTAAGTTCTAAGCGATCGCGGATGAGATGGGAACGAAGCGGGAGACTGAAGCGCTACGTGCAGCCGTTTGGTCTTACATTTAAACGGTGGGAAGAAAATGACAGAGGGGGGAACGTGGGAACGCGGATCAGGCAGAGAGGAGGGAGGAGGAGGAGGAGGAGAAGGAGGATTAGGAGGAGGATTGGGAGGGGGAGGATGAGGAGGAGGAGGAGGAGGAGAAGGAGAAGGGAGGATTAGGAGGAGGAGGAGGACTAGGAGGAGGAGGAGGAGGAGGAATTGGAAGAGCAGACCCCCCCCCAGCCGTGTAGTTTCTGTAAGCTTTGGGGGACGAATGTGCGCAGCGTTGAGGCGAGACATGTGCAGCTCTCCATCCGTGTAGTTGGTGTAATTCAAAAGCGAAGATGCGTAGTTCGAGGGTCATGATGATGGTGATGACGACGACGGCGAGGATGAGGGGGAGGTTCAGATGAGGATGTTTATGGTGATTGTGACGACGACGACGTTGATGGTGTTGTTGATGACGATGACGATGATGATGACGACGATGATACTGATGATAATGATGATGATGCTGTTGTTGTTGTGCTTGTTGTTGGTGATGATTATTGCAGTGGTGGTGGTGATGGTGTGATGTGATGGTGCCAGCTATGATGACAATGATGCTGTTGATGATGGTGATGATGACAAGTATGATGGTGGTGGTGGTGATGCTGCTGCTGCTGATGAGGATGCTGATTGTGATGATGATGGTGACGATGCTGACGAAGATGATCATGATACTGATGATGTCGATTATGCTGATGATCATGATGATGTGGATGCTGATGATGATGCTGATTAAGAAGATGAACACGACGACGATGACGACGATGATGATGACGACGATGACGATGACTATGACGTTGGCGTTGCCGTTGACCATTGCAGTAACGAGGACGATGACGACGACGTGGACCACGATGACGATGATGATGATGATGCTGATGACGATACCGATGACGATGACGATGCCGACGACGAGATGCTGATGATGATGATGATGGTGGTTGTGATGATGATGCTGAGGTTGTTGACGATGATGGCGGTTATGCTGATGATGATGATGACGGCGTTGATGATGTTGATGATGATGATGATGATGATGCTGATGATGATGATGATGATGATGTCGATGATGGTATTGATGGTGATGATGATGAAGAATGTGGTGGTGTTAGTGCTGATGCTGACTGTGGTGATGGTGAATACGATGATGATGGTGAGGGTGATGATGATGATGATGGTGCTGATGATGCTGATCATCATGATGATGCTGATGTTGATGCTGATGATGGTGATGATGAGGATGGTGATGACGATGTTGCTGATCAGGATGATGATGATGCTGATGCTGATGATGATTATGATTATGATGATGATGATGATGATGATGATGGTGGTGGTGGTGGTGGTGGTGGGTGTGGTGGTTGTGGTGATGATGATGATGGTGATGATGATGGTGATGATGTGGATGATGATGATGCTGATGATGATGATGGTGGTGGTGGTGATGATGATGATGATGCTGATGATGATGATGATGGTGGTGGTGGTGATGATGATGATGATGATGATGATGATGATGGGGTGGTGGTGATGATGATGATTATGGTTATGATGATGGTGATGATGATGATGATGATGATGATGGTGATGATCATGAGGGACGGCGTGCAGCAAGGGCATGCCGAGGGCTCGCGCGCTTGCTTGACAGCAAGTGCAACTGGTGCGTGCCTGGCATCCGCTGGAACCCTCCCTGACCTCCAGCGGATGGTATAACTTGCTTCTGGCGCTTCCCTCAGTGTCCACATCTGGGGGAACTTCTTGGGCCTGGGTACCATCACACATGGGTTCTGGGTGGCAACATGCCAACGGGCAAGGGATGACCCAGGATGCTTGCAGCTGGCGGCGACGTTTCGGATGAGCTGCTAGCTTCTCCCTCGTATTTCTTCTCCTTCTCCTTCTTCTCCTTTTCTCTTCGCCCCTTTTCTCCTCCCCTCTTCCCTTCCCCTTAGACTCCTCATTCCCGACCCTTTCCTCGCCTGTCGCCTGCCCATCCTGCTCCCCCAACCTCATATAGTGGGGAGGGGGAGCGATTTGTCCACCGCCAGATATGTCCACATCCACCGCTTCGGAGTCGCGCCCTGAGATCTCGAGGATCGGTGGATATCCAGATCCACCGCTCTCCGAGCCCTCGGAACATGACCCGGCGGCAGTGGATATGGTCAAATTCTGGCGGCACAATCTGTGGTCTGGCTTCCGAGGTCTTCGGTTTCCTATAGCATCCGGGCATTTGAAGGGAACGGTCTCAGGCCCCTCCCGTGCCTTACCGAAACTCCGCTCGCCCAGGCGGGGTGGAGGGCTTCTCTTCGCCTGCGGCCTTGTGTGGTTCATCAGGATATGCACGCAGGAGGGGGAAGGAGGAGAAGGATTAAGAGGAGTAGGAGGAGGAGGAGGACGAGGAGGAGGAGGAGGAGGAGGAGGAGGAGGAGCACGAGGAGGGAGAGGAAGAGGATGATGCAGCACAGTTGCTGCAATCACTGGCATCGTGATCTTGCGCGCCGCGTACCGTTCCGATTCAGCTCGCACTTCGACCGAACAGCGAGGGTGTTTTCTTGGTGGGAGGTGCTACGGAAGGGTGGAGTGGATTGGGAATTGCCATCCTGACTGTAGGCGGGACACCGACGTGGTCCAGCGAGACACCAGCGTGGTCAGCTGGGACGCCGACGTGGTTCAGCACCCCGCAGACGAGGAAGATGACGACGTCCTCACCAGCAGCAGCTCGTTCTTCTCCAGGATCTTGAGCGGCCAGGGCCTGGAGGACGGGTACGGCGTCCACACTGGCAGCAGCTCGTTCTTCTCCAAGATCCTCAGCTCGGGGAACAACACAATTGCACGAGCACAGACACTTGGAGGTCCGCGCGGATTTCTTGGATCGGCGCTGGTGCCCCTCCCTCAGCGCGGAGCGCGCCAGGGGTGGCGCCTGCGGCGCCGCTTGGGGGGGGCCCAGCGCCAGTCCAAGAAATCCGCGCGGATCTCCAAAAGTGTATGTTTACCCTTCGGTTGTTGAAAATAGGTAACTTCTCACTTCCAGGATCGAATGGTACTCCCCTTTTCTTTTGTTTAGAGGTGGCGGGCGGAGATCCAATCTATTTTCAACGCCTTCCTATTTCGTATGCCGATCCACTTCATGTTTCGGTGGCAAATCATGGGCGCCGTGTGTACCCTCGTAATTCCATCTTCAGAGTGCACTCGTGTCGATCAGCGTCTGGCAATCGAGGAGGTGGCGCCGACGGAGCGCCAATTCGCGCCGCATCAGCGCCGAATTGTCGTCGATGGGCGTCGACGAGCGCCGATTCGCAAGAGCCAGCAAGATGGCCCGGGAGGCTCCGGGAGGCCAGCGAGCTGCCGCGCAATTGTTTTGTTCCACGATCAGCGGGCAGGGCCCGCTCGACGGCGTGCCGGCGGCCGACCGCCGCGGCGCCGGCCCCGAGCGTGTGCCGGGCGGCGGTGTCGACGCGGGGGCCACGCCCGCGGAGGCCCTGGCGCCGCCGCGGCCCGAGCCCCGCGCCAGCAGGCTGAGGCGCCTGGCGCGCTGCAGGGGCGTGCCGCTCTCGTGCCTGCTCGTCGGCAATCTCAACCGCGCGCCGGTGGTCGGAGGGAAGGAGAGGGGAGGAGGGGGAGGAGGGGCAGGGATGAGAATGGTGGTGGTGATGGCGGTGGTGGTGGTGGTGATGGTGATGGTGACCTGTTGGTGATGGTGATGGTGATGGTGATGGTGATGGTGATGATGGTGATGATGATGATGATGATGATGATGATGATGATGATGCTGATTTTGCTGATGATGCTGATTATGCTGATGACGCTGATTATGCTGATGATGCTGTCTTGCCGCTGATGATGATGATGATGATGATGTTGTTGGTCATAATGATGATGGTGACGATGATGATGATGCTGAGGATGACGACGTCGATAATGCTGAGGATGGTGATGATGATGATGATGATGATGATGATGATGATGATGATGATGATGGCGATGACGTTGATGATGGTGATGATGGTGATGATGGTGATGACGACGACGACGATGATGATGATGATGATGACGACGACGAATGACGACGATGACGACGAAGATGATATTTTCGATAATGATGCTGATGCTGCTGCTGATGATGACGAGGAGGAGGAGGATGAGAAAGGCTGATGACGACGATGATACTAATGATGCAAACGCTGATGCCGATTTCGATGATGGTGCTCATGCTGATGCCAATGCTGCTGCTGATGATTGTTGTGAGGTTGAGAATGATGGTGATGATGATGATGCTGCTGATGATGATGATGACGATAATGATGATGATGATGATGATGATGATGATGATGATGATGATGATGATGATGCTGATTTTGCTGATGATGCTGATTATGCTGATGATGATGATGATAGTGATGCTGATGATGATGATGATGATGATGATGATGATGATGCTGATGCTGCTGATGGTGATGATGATGGTGATGATAAAGAAAAAGAAGGTGATGGTGAAGGTGATGGTGATGCTGATGCTACTGACACTGACAATGCTGATGATGAGGGTGATGACGATGATGATGATGATGATGATGATGATGATGATGATTATGATGATGATGATGATGATGATGATGATGATGATGATGACGACGATGATGATGATGATGATGATGATGACGACCAGGAGGAGGAGCAGGAGGAGGAGGACGGCTGACGATGATGAGGATGACGATGCTGATAGTGATGCTGAGGTTGATGCTCATGCTGGCGCTGCTGCTGATGCTGCTGCTGCTGATGACGATGACGACGAGGATGTTGACGATGATGATGATGATGATGATGATGATGATGATGCTGCTGCTGATGATGATGATGATGATGCTCATGATGACGCTGCTGATGCGGATGCTGATGCTGCTGCCGATGCCGATGCTGCTATTGATGATGATGATGTTGACACGCTGGTACTGATGCTGATGATGCTGGTGATGATGCTGATGACGATTCCGATGATGAGTTTGCTGATGACGATGATGATGGTGATGATGCTGATCATGATGATGCTGACGGAGTCGGTGATGATACTGCTGGTGATAATGATGATAGTGACGATGATAGTGATGATGGTGCTGAGGATGCCGACGACGACGATGCTGCTGATGATGGTGATGATGATGACGATGGTGGTGATATTTGTGATGATGATGACGACGATGACGGCGATGATGATGATGATGATGATGATGATGATGATGATGATGATGATGATGACGACGGGTGACGATGACGATGGCGACGATGATGTTATTGATACTGATGCTGATGCTGCTGCTGATGATGACAAGGATGAGGAGGATGAGGAAGACTGATGATGATGACGACGATGCTGATAATGATGCTGATGCTGATGCCGATGTTGATGATGCTGCTGATGCTTATGCTGATGCTGATACTGTTGCTGCCGATGCTTCTGCTGATGGTGATGATGATGATGCTGATGATGAGGATGATAGCGAAGATGCTGATAGTTGCGATGATAATGATGATGATGATGGTGGTGATGATGATGCTGATGCTGCTGATGATTATGATTATGATGATGATGGTGATGGTGATACTGATGACGATGATGATGATGCTGACATTGGTAATGCTGTTGTTAAGGTGGATGATGATGATGATGATGATGATGATTAACAGGAGAAGCAGGAGGAGGAGGAAGGCTGATGATGATGATTGATGCTGATACTAAGTATGACGATGATAATGTTGCTGCGATTGATGATGATGATGATGATGATGATGCTGATGATGATGATGATGATGATGATGATGATGACGATGCTGCTGATAATGATGATGATTATGCTGCTGATGCGGATGCTGATGCTGCTGCCGATGCTGTTGCCGATGCTGCTGCTGATAATGTTGTCATCCTCACAATGGTGATGCTGATTACGATGACGATGATGATGCTGTTGATGATGGTGATGATGATGATGATGATCACCATGATGACGTTGATGCTCATGATGATTGTGATGGTGGTGGTGACGATGATGATGATGACAGCCATGACGATGCTGATGTTGATGATGATGCTGATAGTGATAATGATAATGATGATGACGATGACGATGACGATGACGATGACGATGATGATGATGATGATGCTGCTGATGATGATGATGATGATGATGATGATGCTGAATGTGATGATGATGTTGATGACGACGACGATGATGATGATGATGATGCTCACGATGACGATGACGATGATGATGATGATGCTGGCGATGATGCTGATGATGACGATGCTGGCATGATGATGATGTTGGGGTGAAGGGGGAGGCGGTGGGGGGGGGGGAGGGGAGGGGAGGGGGGGGGACGGAGGAGGAGGAATGCTGATGACGATGATGATGATGATGATGATGATGATGATGATGATGATGATGATGGTGGTGATGATGATGATGATGATGATGATGATGACGACACCGATGGTGCTACTTACGATGCTGTTGATGCTGCCGCCGATGATGATGATGATGATGATGATGATGATGATGCTGGTGATGGTGATGGTGATGATGGTGAAGGCTTTGATGACGCCGTTGGCGACGAATTTGATGATGCTACTGATGATTCTGATGACGACGATGATGGTGGTATGGATGATGATGAGGAGGAGGCAGGACGGCTCAGGATAATGATTATGATGATGACGACGATGATGATACTGATGCACATGCTGATGCTGATGAAGATGGTGATGCTGCAGCTGATGCTGGTGCTACCGCCGATGCCGCTGATGATGCTGCTGCTGATGATGACGCTGCTGATGCTGATGATGATGAGGAGGATGATGCTAATGATGATGATGATGATGATGATGATGATGATGATGATGATGATGAAGCTGATTCTGATTATGATGATCATGATGATGATGATTTTGATGATGATGATATTGCTGATGCAGATGATGATGATGGCGAGGATGATGATGTTGATAATGATGATGATGATGATGATGATGAGGATGATGATGATGATGATAGTGATGCTGATGATGATGCTGATGAAGATCAATATGATGATGATGATGATGATGGTGATGATGATGCTGATGATGATGCTGATTATGATGATGATGATGATGATGATGATGATGATGATGATGATGATGATGATGATGATGATGATGATGATGACGATGCGGAGGATGTTGATGATGATGCGGATGATGATGTGGAGGAGGAAGGCCGATCATGATGATGACGATGATGGTAATGATGCTGATGTTGATGATGCTGTTCCTGGTGATCATGATGCTGATGCTTGTGTTAATGCTGATGCTGATGCTGCCGCCGGCGTTTACTGATGATGATGACGATGACGATGTCGATGTCGACGATGATAATGATGCTGATGATGATGACGATGATGATGCTGATGATGGTGATGATGTTGAATATGATGATGAAGATGACCAAGACGATGACGACGAGATTGATGCTGTTGATG